CCCATGTATGTATTTTTTGTGTCACCTTTGGGAAAATGGTCTTTTGATGTACTTTATTTGCTTAGCCACAGAATGAGCAGATTGGACTCTGAGAATACTCTAAATTCTCTTGCTATTCTCAAGTGTTGACAGTCTATGGTTCATGACTAGTATCCCTCCAGGATGAATGTTATAGTCCTCTAAGCTCAGGTTCGTCATCCCCCAGCAGGGAAGTAAAACAATTAACACTCCAAGAGCAAAGAAAAGTGCTTAGCCATCCGTAGCCTGTTGAGAGAACGGGTAACTGATTTTGGAGAAAAAGTTTACGGTTTATGCCATGCGCCCATTTTTCTGATCTTGTTGGACCACTAAACACAGCATACCTGGACTACATTAGCTTAGCTCAGTTATTATAAAATCATGCTTACTGACTTTCTCTTTTCTCTTTTAATTTTACTGAAAGTTATTATGAGAACTAACCATACAAAATGTGCGTCTGTGTTTGCTGCAAGACCATTGTCAAGTACACTGTTCATTACAACACTTAATGTTATCTGTAGACATTCCTACGTGAAATAGTTCTGTTAGAATTTAGTGCCAGAAACAATTGCCTCAGCTTAGGAATTTCTGAGCTTCCTTCTTTTTGATAAGGAGAGCCCTGTAACATACCACATTTCCTTTTTGCCTTGGATGCCAAGAAGGTTGAAGCCAAATTTGAAGCTTAATCACAACTGTCTTAACCTCATGACTGACGGATATATTTCATCTTTATTCCTTTGGTCCTGATGTTTTATTTCTGTGTTAATTAGCCTCATTGTATAAATGCTGTTCATGGAAACCCATCTCAAATCCCTTTGCAGAGAAGTGGGCATGAATACTGAATTAATTTCCTCAGGCTATTGTAACAAAGTACCACAAACTGGGTGGCTTGTAAGAACAGAAATTGATGTCTCACAGTTCTGGAGGCTAGGAGTGCAAAATCAGGGTGTCAGTCATGTTGATTCCTTCTGAGAGCTCTGACGGAGAATCTGTTCCATGCCTTTCTCTTAGCTTCTGGTGATGGCCAGCAATCCTTGGTGTTCCTTGCCTTGTAGATGTATTACTCCATCTCTGCCTCCATCATCATCACATGGCCATCTTCCCTCTATGTCTCTTCTCCTTTATAAAGACACTACTCATATTGGATTACGACCCACCCTACTCCAGACTGACCTCATAGTAACATAACTAATAACATCTTCAAAGACCCTATTTCCAAACAAGGTCGCAATTACATATCTTTTGGGAGGATGCAATCAATAACAAATACTTACTTTTAGAGGGGCAGGGAATATGCGGTCTCCAGCCCTTGCTGCAGTGTGTCCTTGATCTTCCCCAGGACTACACCGACACCGAGATGCTGCTGTGCGCAGAAAACGTGAACCAGGACAACCTGCTCTCCTATGCCCGAGAAGCTGCAGACTTTGCCACCAATTACCAACTGCCATCTTTAGATTTTGCCATGAACCATTACGGGCAGCCTGATGTGGCCATGTTTGACTTCACTTGCATGTACGCCTCAGAGAATGCGGCCCTAGTGCGTGAGCGGCAGGCACACCAGCTGCTCGTGGCTCTTGTGGGCGACAGCTTGCTCGAGGTACCGCTTGCTTTTGGAGCCCCCACGTTCCTGCTACAAGGCAGATCCTTGCATTTATGTCCTAGCTGGCAGCATCTGATGTCACACAGTGTGGGAAGAGCAGGCTTAGAGGCCAGCTGGCAGGATTCTGCCATGCCCATCCTGGCCCTGGAGCCTGATCTTTCGCTAAATTCAGAGGAGCCGATTCTGTCTGTTCGTAGGCAGGAGAGCCTTCTCTTCCACCACTGGGTTCTTCTGGGCAGACCTCTTTGTTGAAGTACAAAATTGAGGTGGCCTTTGTCTGGACCACAAGGGCCATCCTTCTCAGAGTGTGTAAAACCTCAGCTGGACCAAGACTCCCTTATGTGGGTGGCCTTTCAATGTGGATGTCATAAGGGATACGAGAAAGGTGTGTGGACACCCAAGTCTAGTTCCATCCATGGCATCCTTGTTCAAAAGTATTCCTAGAAAATCTGCATGTGCAAGACCCTTAAAGTGAGTGTCTTTAGAAGGGTTACATTTTGATCTTTAGTGTAAGCTCTACCCAAAAGATGTGCCTGTATTTATCCCAAGTTAAGAGTCAGATTCCAAACTATCCTTTGGGCTCTCGTAGAACAGTTTAGAACTTAACTGGTCGAGTTGGTTCTGACTCATGGCGACCCCATGTGTGTCGAGTAGAACTATGCTCCATAGGGTTTTCAATGGCTGATTTTTTGGAAGTAGATCACCAGGCCTTTCTTCCAAGGCACCTCTGGGTGGACTCGAACCTCCAACCTTTCAGTTAACAGCCAAGTACATTAACTGCACCATCCAGAGATTTAGTTAGAATTTCGCTTAGTTGAATTAATCCTTCCTCACCACTGAGCAGGAACTCTAGTGCAAGCTCCCTAGCTAAACACCCAATATCCACCCTGCTTCTGCCTCAGTCTCCCTTCCCAGCTTTACCTCTTAGTACACCCCCTCCCGTGAGCTGTGCAACACCTAAACTAGACCAACTGTTCTTCCGTCAGGCTCCATAATTGTCCAGCTACCATGCCTTTGCCCTTGCTATTCCTGAATGGATTGAGATACCTGTCTGAATCCTGTCCATTCTTTAAAATCATCATAAATGCAAGTCTTTTGTGAAGAATTCCCTGATTTCCATCTGTCTCCTCCAAGGTGGGAATTTCTCTCCACCTTTTCTGAGCCCTAAAGCAGTTTTGCTGTACCTGTGTCATGGCACGCTTTACGTTTGACTTTGTGCTACAGCTGTTTGTGTTTGTGGTGGATCTTGTGAGCAACGGGGGCCTACCCTGTCACCTCTCTATCCCTCCAGTGCTTGGCACAGGGCTGCCAATCAGTAAGTGCTGGATAGAATGGGATAACAAGCTGGGAGTCATGATAATCAACTGAATTGTGCATGTTTCCTTTTGTAGCCTTTTTGGCCCATGGGCACAGGCTGTGCCCGTGGCTTCCTGGCAGCCTTTGACACAGCGTGGATGGTGAAGAGCTGGGACCAGGGAACTCCTCCCCTGGAGCTGCTGGCTGAAAGGTGAGTATTGGCATTAGGACTCCCAGCTGGGGCAGGGCCGGGTCAAAAGCTCAGGCAGGAGAGGGATCAAAACCAGCTGTAGGTGACTCCCTAGATCTAACTGGAGCCTTTATCCTTCTCTAGTCTGCCTTCCCACACATGCCTGATGTATTATTCAGAGTCCCAAAGAAAACTGTCTTCATCATGATCTACCTCCTTCAGTAACTTTATTTGGTGAACATGACCTTAAAAAATTTTTTAAAAACCAGTTGCCATTGAGTTGATTCTGACTCATGGTGACTCCATGTGTGACCATAGAACTGTGCTTCGTAGGGTTTTCAATGGCTGATTTTTCATAAGTAGATCGCCAGACCTTTTTTTCTGAACCACCTCTGGGTGGACCCAAACCTTCAACCTTTTGGTTAGTAGCCAAGCATATTAACCATTTGCACCACCCAGGGATGAACATGACCTTATACCCTGGATTTCAGAGAGAAATTGTCCTCTGGGCACAGCCCCAAAGTTAGAGCTCCCCAGCATTGCTCAGTTGCCCAAAGGCCAGCAGAGGTTTATATGAGGGAGTCTTTCAGTGCAGTGCTGAATGTCCTGCCCTGGTTGAGGTTGGGTTCTGTGATTTCCCAGGCCTCTTCCAGTGCTGAGATCCTGGACTTGCTCCCACACCCCTGCTGCTGGCCACATGGCTGTGGCAGCTGGTGGACATGGGAGAAGACAGGCTAGAGGGTGGAACCAGGCCTCTAACGGTCTTGGGTGTGGAGGCCTGTGGTCTTGGGCGCAGGCCAAAGGAGGCAGCATGGCTGAGTGGTGGTTACAGCACAACCCCAGGTCACCATGCTGCTGGGTCTGTGTCCCTGCCCTCTGCTCAGGGGAGGAAGCCAGCATAACTGCCACCGGACACCCACTTCCTTTTGGCCCCTTTGACCCTCACCCACCTTTGCAGATCTCAAGAACCACGATTGCCAGGTACTACAGGGGCAGGGTTTATACAAACACATGCAAGAAGCCCTTGAACACAGAAAAAGAGGGGAGGAGGGAGGAGACAAAGGCCTGAGGTGGCAAGAGCAATCTCTGACCTTTCAGCTCTGCCTCCCACCAGAGAAAGTCTTTACCGGCTGTTGCCTCAAACAACCCCAGAGAACATCAACAAGAACTTTGAACAGTACACATTGGACCCAGGGACACGGTACCCAAACCTCAACTCACACTATGTCAGGCCACATCAGGTGAGTCCCTCCCTGGAGCCCTGTCTGGTTCATCTTCAACGGAGCGGTGGGAAGGGAGGGTCATATATAATCTTAGCACATGCCTGGAACTGATGCCACCATTGCCTCTTGGCCCAAATGTGGGACCAATTCCTCTCTCCAGGAGAGTCACAGGAGTACAATAGAGTCAGCATTCTTTCTAGAGACATATGGGTATATATACACATATGTGCGTGTATTTACATATGTTTATTCATCACTACATGTACGCGTTGCTCAACAGACCTATCTCAAAAAATCTACCTGACCAAGAATCTTCCCTGCTTACTACCTACATTTCCAGAGTTCATCGCTTCCTCCCTTTGTCTCGTAGCCACCCAACACCTAACCTCTTCAGTCAATAAACAGGGAATGGTGTGAATGTTTAAAATTATGTCTTTTCACACCTCAGTTTCCCTGCATTTGGATGGATAATTGAGATCCACTGCTCTGTGTCTCAGATTGCCTGGGTTGCCTTATGAAGGCCACTGCATCCAGTGATAGAAAGGGTGGCAGGCATGGAATAGGGAGTGGGCAGAATTTAGAGACCCCGAGCTATGCTTCGAGGAGACACTGGTGGGCAGCTGTGTGAGGTCTCTCTTGTTTGCAGGTGAAGCACTTGTACATCACTGAGGAGCTGCACTGCTACCCTCTTGAGAGGGTGGGCTCAGTGAGAAGATCTGTCAGACTTTCCAGGCGGGGTAAGCAGTCCTCCTGGGACCCTGCTCCAGGGAGGGGCCCTCCAACCTTGACCAGGTCTCTGGGAGGGGCTGTGTGGGGAGGAGGCCTGCCCTGTGGCAGTGGTGGCAGAGGCTCTGAATCCAGCCTGGCTCTGCCTTATCACAACTAGGAGAGGGGTCAGCCCTTCTCCTCTTTGTACTTCAGTTTCCTCCTCTGTAAAGTGAGATAAGGACAACATGACCCCGTAGAGTGGTTGTAAAGATTAAAGGAGTTATTATGTGTCAAGCACTTAGCATAGTAGATGTGAACTGTGGAATTACAGTGGATTTCATTATTTGTGGTAGTTACATTTTATAAAGTCACCACAAACACTGAATTAGCGGATACTGAGCCATTGCTCCCAGGGGAAGTCCAGGGGTAGGTTCCTGCAAACCTCTGGTCAACATTTTCTTCAACTGATCAGCACATAACCTTGTTTTATGTGTCTCTCTGTTTAAAGACACATTCTTTAATATATATTGTCGATTCATTAATATTGAACTTACGGCCACCAGCACTACAACCCATGCCTGAACGAAGGGTATCTAACACATGTATTTTCTCCATAAGGCACATCTCAGCCTTCTTGCATTTAACAACACTTGACAACACTTCAGCACTATGTTTGGGGGCCATTTTAAACAGCGAAATCACCAACAAAAAGCAAAAAATGGCAAAAAAAATGAGGCACAAAATAGACTATGAAAAGGACTCTTGTTTACAGGATGAGATAAGAAGGCAGAGCATCATCACCTTGTTCATCCTCAGCTGGGCACGTACATGTAGCACAACTTAAATTTTTCACTGCTTTGCACATGTCTGCAAAAGCACCCCAAGTCTTGATTTGGGGATACAAGTGGTTAAGAGCTCAGCTGCTAACCAAAAAGGTTATCAGTTTGAATCTACCAGCCACTCCTTGGAAATCCTGTGGGGCAGTTCTTCTCTGTTCTGTAGGGTCTCTGTGAGTTGGAATCCACTCGACGGCAGTGGTTTTTTTGGGTTTTTGGTTTAGGTGAATTCACGAATACAAAGTCCACAAATAATAAGGATCAACTATCTCACTGTGACTTTTTTTTTTTCCTAGTTGTTTTTTCTATGGGGGTCTTGTCTCCCCAGCTAGGTAATCAGCTGCATGCATTTCACTCTTTTCCCCATTTTCCTGGGCCTAGCACAGGGCTGGAGACAAGGCCGGGGCTCAATGGAGAAATGAAGGAATGATTAAATAAGTAACTCCCTGACATCCAACTTTGGTCAGGTCACTCTTCTCCTTAAAGATCTCTCTGGCTTCCTGTTGCCTGCCCAGACCTCCCCTCTTCTCCTTCATCAGGCACCCTCAGCTTTCCCATCCACTCCTCCTTTGCCTCCACACGCCAAATGCCTCACTGTGATTATTAACTATTTTACTGCTACACAAACACGGCAGGCTAGATTCTTTGCCACTCACAGTTCTTTCTGTTTTCCTGGATGCTTTCTTCTGTCTAATGAATTCCTAGATATACTGCAAGAGCCAGATCCAGTGCACCGCCTCTGTGATGCTTTCTTTGGCTAGTTCTCCTCCCCGGTCCTGTTCAGTGCAAACCTGCCCATGGGCTCCCAGAGCGCCTGCTTCCTCCTCTGTTGCAGCACATATTGTGCTGTGTCATGGTCACCTGCTTCCATGTCTGCCATTCCCACTAGATGAGTGTAATGTTGGTAGAGTCCACATTGTCTGGCCACAGTGAGTCTTATGGACTCTTTGCTGGAGCAGAGCGTGCTTCCTGACTCAGCATCCTGCTGTCCTGCCACATTCATGACAGGGCACCCAGGGAGCAGTTCTCAGGGGGTGTACCCATGCTGGATGGCCCCTACCACTAACCCCCTTGCCTGGGTGCCATTTCTCCTGGTCCCCAGCCATGGTAGCCATCGGAGGGGATCCCCAGGGTGAGCTGCTTGAGATCCCCCAAGAGCGCTTCACCACTGTCTGTACAACCCTTGCTGCAGAGTCAGACATCCGGCCCAGCAAGCTGTTAACCTGGTGTCAGCAGCAGACCGAGGGCTACCAGCACGTCAACGTCACTGACCTGACCACATCCTGGCGCAGTGGCCTGGCTCTGTGTGCCATCATCCACCGCTTCCGGCCCGAGCTTATGTGAGTCTGGGGCCCCAGCTGGACCTACCACACCCTTCACAGCCCCAGGAGACCCTGAAGACAAGGGTACCAGGGCTCTTTTGCTAGATTCAGAATCTTCAGGACTTGATTCAGTACTTCTCTTTGCATATTTTTGATTTGAGTTTTTTTCTTAAATTTATGCTTTTTGCATTGCACTGATTGCTTTATCAGTAAGATGTGTGATCTGTGTGCCTAATTTTTGAGGAGCGGAAGTGGCTTAGGTTCAGTGATTGCCCCACCCCCCACCCCCAACCTCACTAACACACTTTGGAAATTTGAGCATTCACCCCTTGAGAGAGGAATTATGGGCAAGACTTACTTCTTGAAACTGGTGTGAGGGTTTTATGGTCAGAAGAGTTAGATTTGAGACCCAGATCCATTAGCTATGTGCCATTGGGGAAGCCATTTATCTTCTGTGAGTTTTATTTTCTTCATCTATAAATTGGATCATTAGGAAGGTTGGATTATATTTGTGGAAATACTTTATGATGCCCAAAGCACAATACATCATTCAATGTTATACTTAAATCAGCAGCAGTATGACATCATGTTCATGTGTAAATTCATCAAAAAAGGCTGGAAGAAAATGTACCAAGGGGTTATCAGTCAGTACTGCTGTGAACTGAGCTTGCCTCCAGAAGGGAATGGAACTCTCACTTTTTAATTTCTATGCTATGTATAGTTTGATTTTTTTTTTTTTTACGAGAAGCCCATATTACTTTTGCAATTGAGAAAAAGGGGAAATATTTCAAAATAAAGTAGCTTATAGATTTTCCAAAGAAGATTCAATCACTTTCTGATTGTTTCAGCTTAGGCAACAATGGCATCACCATGGTCCAAGCCTAATTCGGCACTGCTCTGAATGAGAAGGACAGGGTTAGTGTCTTCTGCTAAGCTGCCTCTAGGGGGCTGTCCTGGGGACAGGGGCAGGGGTCACTGCTCCTTTGCCCTGCCCCTACCCCTGCCAATACCTGGTACAATGCCCCCCAGCAGTACTCCTCAGCTAAATTTGCTCCGCCCTCCACACCTCTGCCTCCTTTCTCTGAATTTCTCCACCTTGTTTTGATTCTCTAGCAACTTTGACTCTTTGAATGAAGATGATGCTGTGAAGAACAACCAGCTGGCATTTGACGTGGCCGAGCGTGAGTTTGGGATCCCCCCAGTGACCACTAGCAAAGAGATGGCGTCAGCTCAGGAGCCTGACAAGCTCAGCATAGTCATGTACCTCTCCAAGTTCTACGAGCTCTTCCGGAACACCCCGCTGAAGACTGTGGGTAAGGACCTTTGCAGAGGCTCTGCTCAGCCCCTTGAGCCATTTCTGCCCTTGTGCCAGACTCTGGTTACTCTTAACACTGGTGTCGTGTGTTGTGGGATGACTGATGCCTTTCCTCAGTCTTTAAGGCCAAACCAGGTAGATCCTACCCACCCAGACCCTATGAGTGTAAGTAGGTCTGTATGGTAGATGCCACGTGGGACCAACTGTCTGCCCCATCACTGGGAGGTCACCAGTGGGGCCGCATTTACCCCCTACCTGGGCCATTTGCATCTTTAGTTTGAGATGAGAAAATTACTCTGAAAGAACCTTGTCTTGTCACAGTGACACCCCTTGGGCACTGGGGTAGCAGTGTCAGGACACCAAATCTCAATTGTGCTTTTATTTCTTCACAGATTCCTGGGGCAAATACTATGGAGAAAACGCTGACCTCAGCTTGGCCAAATCATCCATTTCTAATAATTATCTCAACCTCACGTTGCCGAGGAAGAGGACTCCACGAGTAAGATGCAGCCTGGTTTTATTTTATTTCTCATTGCACGTGGATGGGAAAAAGGGGAAGGGAGAATTTCACGTTCTCAGTCTGTTTATGCTAATAAATTACATAGACTGGGCACTTATGGAAGATGTGAGTAAAATTCGAGTTAGTAACAGCACTTTTGGAAGTTCTCCTTGGCACTGTGTAGGAAGTTTCAACCACTTAAAAGTGATTGTAGAAAGGGCATGATAGAGGGCTGAAAGGATATGCTGGTGAGTATTTTAAAAAGTAAATCAACCTGTATCAGGTGAAAAGATTAAATCACTAATCACAAACCTCCCAACAAAGAAAGTCCAGGACTAGATGGCTTCACTGGCGAACTCTACAAAACGTTTAAAAGAGTCAGCACCAATCCTTCTGAAACTCTTCCCAATAATAAAAGAGGAAGGAATATTTCCTAACTCATTCTTTGATGCTAGCATTACCCTGATGCCAAAGTCAGATAAAGACATCACAAGAAAAGAAAATTACAGACCAATATCCCTTATGAACATAGATGCAAAAATCCTGACAAAATACTAGAGACAGAATTCAACAGCATATTAGAAAGATTATACACCATGAGCAAATGAGATTTATCCCAGGGATGCAAGGGTGGTTCAGCATAAAGAGATCCATAATACAACACTTTAACAGAATGAAGGGAAAAAAACCCACAAGATCCACTTATGGCTGTATTTTTTTGTTTTTGATGAGGAAAACAGATACAGAGAGATAAATAATACATGGTCCTTGTCTTTGAGGAGCTCAGAACCTAATAAAGTGATTCCCAAACTTTCTCAGTTTATAGTACCCTTAGTGTCTCAGTAACGTCTTCATGGTGCCTGTAGATCAAAAGAAATACCTAACAGCTCTGTTTATTAAGTAGTTGAGACCACGTAACTTAGTTGAAGTAGTTTACAATGCATCTAACAGATGTCACTGTGTTTCCCCTCAAAAATTTAAAATATTCTGTGGTGACTTTGTGAGTTCACTAGGGTGCCATAGGGTGTCTTGGTGCAAAGTTTGGGAACCATAGGCCAAACAGGAAATTATAACTTTATTTGAATGATAACATCTCAGTGGAAGGTATAATAGAAGTTATCTACTTAATGTGCTCATTTTACAAATAAAAAACAGAGGCCTGGAGAGGTTGGCTGCCTTGCCCAAGGTCATCTCCTACTTAGCAAAAAACCAAACCTGTTGCCATTGCCTCGATTCTGACTCCTAGTGACCCTATAGGACAGAGTAGAACTCTTCCAAGGAGTGGCTTGTGAATTCAAACTCTGACCTTTTGGTTAGCAGCTGAGCTCTTAACCACTGTGCCACCAGGGCTCCATCTACTACTTAGTGGTAGTTTATTACTTTGCCCTCTATACCAAGTTTCCTTTACCACTAATTAATTAATTTTTTAAAAGGTATTTATCAAGTATCTGGTGATAAGACATGCAGAAGTGATGTGCAACTTGACCTTAGAGTCTAGCCGGGAAGATACGATGCCAGGAAGATAGTGAGACGACTGCAGAACAAGGGTCAAACCTTGGGGAACAACAGAACTTAAGGGGCTGGCAGAGGCAGAGCCACCAGGAAAGAAGATGAAGAAGGAACTATTAGAAAGGAAGGAAGTCAGAAAGGCCAGCGGGGAGAGAGTTCCAGAGGATGGGTTCAAGAGACTGTGTTAGGCAACAGAGAAGCCAAGGACTGAGGAAAGGCTGTGAGATTTGAAGGTATTGGGGGCAAAAGGCAAATTTCAGAGGAGTAGGACTGAATGGGGAGCCTCTGGGTAGTACAAACCGTTAATGCACTTTGGCTCCGAACCAAAAGGTTAGCAGTTCGAGCCCACTCAGAGGCATCTTGGAAGAAAGGCCTAGCGATCTACTTCCAAAAAATCAGCCATTGAAAACCCTATGGAACACAGTTCTATTCTAACACACACACAGTGTTGCCATGAGTCAGAATCAACTTGACGGCAACTGATAATTGGTAAGGACCAAATGGATAGTCCTCTAGAGGCTTGGGCAGGGGGCACCCGAATCTGAGTCAGAGGGATGAGCAGGAACTAGGAAGACTTCAACGATGAATGACAAGGCAGAAGAACCTCAAACTTACCACTTAAAGAAGCCAAAGGAGTGGAAATTTCCAAGGCGGTGATCAGTAGGAGCAGAGGAGGGAGGGACCAGGATAAGGTCAGAGGCAGGACCACTGGCTAAAGCAGAGGAGGCTCAGGAGGGCAGTGTTAATTACCCGCACAGAGCATGCCTTCCCTCTCCAGAACTTCAGACAAGTCTTCCCCTAACATCGCAGAGGGGCTGCAGATCTCTGTGTGTCTTTGAGTCTCTTTAAATTGAGAACAATCTCCTTAACCCCTGGCCAGTCTCACCTTGTCCTGTCAGCCCCTCCGCCCAGGGTGGGGCTTGTGCCTCCTAGTGGCCTCCTTTCTTCCCCTCAGCTGGGGAGCAATGGTCACTTTTTCCACTGAGGTCTGGAATGTTGCAGCAGTTGTTTTGCTAACTCCAGGGGCAGGATACTTAAAGTTTCTGCCACACCCTGTCTGTAGGAAGGAATGGGCTAGCGAGGCTGGGGTGGGAAGGAAGGTGTGCTGGTTTGTTAGTGTTCTCAGCAGAGCAGTAAAACAATGAGCTACACCTAGCTTCTTTTGCCCCCTCTGCTGCCTGAACTGCCCCAGTTTAGAGGCTCTGGGAGAGGGCCGCGTTCTCCACCGCGTGTCCCGTTGTGGGAACACTGTATCCTGCAGACCAGTCTCCGGCTGGTGCCACTGCAGCCCAGCTGTTCTTGCTCTGAAGTCCAACGACCTCTGCTTTGGGCTCCTCTGACCCAAGTAAGCCAGCACAGTCTTTCTGGAAGCCCTCTGAGCCAAACGTATACCACCTTTCTCCAATCACCTCTGTTTCTCCCACCACTTAGCCTACAACTGGAAGGCAGAGATAACTGGAGAGGAATGTTTAAACCTTTTGCTCACCACTCCTCTGTTTACAGAATGACCGAATTGGAGCCATGTGACCAGCTCTGGCTCAGAAGGTGGATTGGTCAAAAGTCAGTAGTCAGCAAGGCCAGCCAGGCTCTCCTTCCCAGAGCTGCTTCATCCTCCTCCACTCCCCACAGTTCTGCTTAGAAATGCAGTGGGAGCTTATGGGCTCTGCCCATTCTGAACCCTGTTCAGTCTTCCCCAGGGTGTGCATCTTGGCTGCCCATCTTATGAGAGGTTCAAGACCCACAGATCTGATCCCTTGCTTGGCCTCATTTTATGTTTGTAATTTGCCTTGGTCTTGAGATAGGTAGAGAGATTTGGTCATTGAAGTAAGTGCCTGGCCTGGGCAATATTTGTCCTTCTGTTTCTGCTCAAATGGATTGAGCACTTTCTCTGGGTGAGTAGGTGAGTCAGTAAGGCCATTGTAGGTCACAGTATGCTTTGGCCATTACTGACATACCTCCTACTTATCCACCATACTATCCCAGCAATCCAGTGATCGGAACCACACACAGAGTACCTTCTTCCCACCCTACTGTGGGTCTGCATGTTGTATCTAAATACTCTTTTGGCTTGAGGAACCTATTTGCAGTGCCTTTTGGCCTTAATACTTCCCACAGGCAAAGAGTACCGAGTCCACTCTCATCTCCTCCTGCACAGAGGCACCATGGCTGTCTGCACACACACAGGCTCCACCACAGTTGCAACACAGCAAATGTCAGTGCAATTAGACATGCAGCCCTCAATGTCCTAGCTCATGCACCCCTCTGGAATAGAGACAGAGGTTCGGCCATGCTTACACGATTCTACACCGTAGTGCACACACACAGTATCTGTTCACACAGATGCATCTGCATTTGACCTCGCTCCCTTTCTCCATCTCTCCCTAACCCTCCCTCCTCACCCCCAACTTCCAGAGGAACTTCTTGATATGGGAATTGATAACTACACATTTTCTTACAGAGTGGAATCTTCATCTGAAGAGGATTCATTGTTTTCTGCTGAGCCAGTCTTAAGAATCTCTCACCTTCCTGTTTTTCACTATTGGCCTTAAATTCTTCTCTCCTTCCTAATTTTGTCTTCCTGATAACATCGAAATTGCAGCAAGTGTATCAATTTCTGGAAAAATAGAAGACTCTTTCTCCACAAAGGACCTTGTTTCCTTTTAGAGAGAGTAACTTTCTCATCTCATGGCTAAGAGGTCTCTCTGGTGAGGGATAACCAATGAGTTGATTAGCTCTGAAGGCTGGATGGCCCATGCCTGGGAAAAGGAGAATTATCTGGGGTATTATGTTTTCCACTTAGAAAGGAGTCTGCCTTTGCAGAGCTACAGCTGATCCTGAACAGCATCAAAATTTCTTATGGCATGGGACCGTTCCTGGGGGTTCCAGGGCTCTTGTCACCGTGGCATGCAGGTGACACCTGAACATATACTTGGCCTCTGTTACTCCTGCACATACCTACACACACACACACACTCACACTCACACACACATACAGACACACACTCACACTACCTGTCTGTACTCTCCTAGACCTACCACACATGGGTAATACTTGTATCTATGGCCACTACAGTCATTACCTACATTGGGTACCTGATATTTGTCCCATTCTGAGCCCACTCCTTGCAGCCCAACACAGAGGCTGTCACAGTCCCTGGAAAAACCCATCCCAGAAGCCAGGTGCGTGGCCCAAGCATTTATCCTGCCCTCTGACTGATTCTGACCCAGGTCCTTCTCCTTCTTCCACACTGATCCTCTGGTAGAGTTCACAAAGCATGACTGGTGTCCATGTCTGGTCTGGGCAGTCCATCCCCCTTCTCTATCCTTCTTTCCCTGGCCCTCCTGCACAAACACTTTCCAAAGAGCCAGGAGGCATTCTTTAAGAAAGTGCTTCCTCCAACCATCCATTCATTCAGTAAATATTTACTGAGCACCTATTTGACGATGAGTTCTCTCCTAGGTGCTGGGAGTAGAGCAGGCAACTAGACAAG